GCAGTGCCATCTGGTGCATGCCCGGGACCACAAACAGACGCTGATATGCGGAACACGATGACCTGTGCGAACAGCTCGAACAGGCGTCGCAGGACGAGACGAAGGCTCACTACGCTCTGCCAGACCTCCAGTAGGACCAGTATAGGGAGAAGGAGCAGGTAGTGGGGAGGCGGGCTGTAACTGTGACTCGAACTCGACAGGCGGTGGACACTCTAAGGAAGAAGCAGGACCAGCGGAAGGCGGGAGACCAAGAACCTGCTCAAGGAGCGGAACGAAGTACGGCCGCGGCTGCGCAACGCCTCCAGAACTAGAAGGTACAGCACCAGCACCCCTAGCGGCAGCACCTGCGCCAGTAGCACCCCGAGCTCCAGCAGCGCCAACTCCATTACCCCCACAAGCACCAGCGCCAGCAGAACCTCCAGCGCCAACGCCCCCAGCAGCTCCAGCTCCAGAAGGACCACCGGAAGACTCAACAGCTCCAGCCCCAGCAACTCTAGCAGCACCTACCCCAGCAGCACCACCAGCTCCAGCACTGTCAGCAGCTCTAGCACAAGGATTCACCCCCAGGCCCAGCAGCTACAGTACCTCCAGTGCAAGCACCTCCGGGACCCGTGGCACCAACACCCTCAGCAGGAGTAGAACCAACAGCTCCAGCAACACCTCCAGCTCCAGCAGCACGGCTCCAGCGCCGAGCAAACCACTCGCGCAGCGCCTGTAGAGAGGGCAGCTCCCGCCGGGACGAAGCATCCGAAAGACCTCCAGACCCACTGCCGCCAGACTCCACACGAGCAGGCTCAGCACCCTCAGGCTCCACACCCTCAGTCGCAGCACCCCCAGGCTCAGCACCCCCAGATGCAGCGCCCCTAGGCTCAGCACCCCCAGGCTCCGCACGCGTAGGCTCAACACCTCCAAGCTCAACACCCCCAGACCCCGCACCCCCAGGCTCAGCACCCCTAGTAGCACCAGAGTCAACAGCTACCTCGACAGGCTCGACTGCGTCTACCTGAGACACACCTAAGGGGGCATAACCCTGAGGGGGGAGGGGGTCTACCGGGGGTGGACCTGGCGCGAGGAAGAGCGACGGCGGGGGAAGGGGTTCAGTGCGGTAGGGGAAGAGACGGTAGTAAGGAACCGACTCTTCAAACGTAACGTCCTGGGAGGACAGAACACGGCGCGAGGTGGGATGGTAAAACTGCCAACCAGGCGCGTCAGGGGGGAAGCCAAGGAAGATGCAGGGAGCAGCACGGGGGGACAGCTTGTTCGTAGACAAGTCGCGGACAAATGCTCGAGATCCACGGACACGAAACGCAGACGCATTGCGAACCTTCCTTGTCCACCGCAGAGTAGGGGAGGTCTCCGGCAAGGAGACCCGAGGCTGAAGGTTGATCTGATGCGCCGTGTACTGAACCGCGAACGGCCACAGAAAATGGGGAGCAGCCGCATGGATCATGGACGTACGAGCGACGTCCATGACCATGCCAATGCGGCGCTCAGTGATCCCATTTTGCTGTGGAAAGGCCGGAAGCGTGAACGTCTTGCGGATGCCCCATGCACGACAGAAGGTTAGAGGAAAACTCTCCGCCTCTGTGGGAGTGCAGACGCAGAACAGGAAAGTCCGAGCCGAAACTCTCTCTGAGCTGGAGACGAGCTGCGCGGATCCAGTCGATCAACATCTCAGTGACCTCACCCTTGCTGCGTAAGGTGAAGACTGTGGTGTACGGCGAGTAGTCGTCAACGACGAGCAAGAAGTAACGCTCGTGACCTCTACCGCCACCTCCTCCGCTGCCTCCATCGCCACCTCTACCGCCACCTCCATCGCCCCTGCCAGCTGTTGGGTGCAAATTCACATTGCACGACATCCTGCCGTCTGTTTGTACGAGTATGCGTGTGCGAATGCATTTGGGTATGAATGGATTTTTTCGAGTGTTTGTTTGCTTTCGCAATTTTCCCTTGAAGCATATGCAGGTACTTGCGCATTGTGCGCTTCGGCATAACATTGTACGCGCTATGAACAGTACAAGCAGAAAGGACGAGCTCGCAAAGGAACCCAAGATGGAAGCTTTGCGGTTCGGCTTACTTGATTGCGCAGATTCAGTTCTATCCAACTCGAAATTGTACTGTTTTGTTTGGTTGACTATAGTTTAGCAGGGCAGGCACTATAGGGGTACAATTTAGGTGAAGGTTGGATGTTGTTTGTCTGTATCTGCATGCTACAGGGCCAGGGGAAACCAGCGGAACCAGCATTTGGCTGGTTGGGCAAAGACAAAACAGGTTCTGTTTTTAGGACCTGAACCTAGTTGTTGTTTTCCCAGGTTGGAAAAACAGAACCAGAGGTTGTTTACCAACCTACCACATGCTGTTTTGTCCAGCCAGGTTGGTTCTGTTGCTTTGAATTATTTGGGATCATCCCTGGTTGTTCCCAGGTTGATTCCCAAGGTCCTTGCTAGCTAGAGCTATTTATTCCTTCTCTGTTTGTACCTGAATATAGTGAAATTGATTCAAGCGAATTCCTTCCTTGCTGGAATTTACTTTCTACGCGGTGCGACGGCGGAATGCTACCCGAGTCAAACGCAAGTACGCTAGCACTCGAACGCTAGGCAAACGCTGTCCGAGCCATAACTTCGTAATGGCAGAACTTTTTGCGAGGCAATTTGGTACATTTTAAAGCTCTTGGAGCGAGCTTCGATATAGGAAATTCTCAGCTTAATCCGATCAACAGTCTGCACAATACGCTGCGCGACGTTCAAGGTACTCTTGCTGTTTAGACTAAGTCCCACTTGATCCCTCTCTCTACAAACTCGGACCCGAGGATAGGGGCTGGTCTTGTACCAGGCACCCAAGGACCCTTGGAGGTGACCCCGAGGAGAGGTTTTAAGTTTGATTAAGTCTTAATAGTTTGAGTTTATTAGGCCCTTCCACCAACAAGCTGGTATCAGAGCTGCGTTATAGTGATCCTCGATATAGGTAGCTATGGCGGGGAACACCTCGGCGGTAGCTGGTGAACCTTCAGCCCAAGATCGTAGCGGCAGCCATGATTCTGGTGTTTCTGCCCCAAAGGGAGCGCGAACAAGCCAGGGCTCGCTGATCCAGGAGGTGCTGAAAACCTTCACCGTCGAGAAGTTCAATGGTGAGGGTTATGATGATTGGGCCTGGAAAATGCAACTTTATTTCCGTCAGATCGGTTTGCTGAAACTAATGATTGGGGAGGAGCCTAGACCGAGTGACCCTGCCCTTCAGGAAGATTGGGACGAGCGCGCCTCGGCTGGCTACTACTTGATGTCGCAAAGTTTGGAGCTGAACCAGCGTCACCACGTCATGCACCTGCTGCCGGAGGTTGAGTGCGGTCCGAAGGCGTGGACGGTGTTGAAGGAGCTGCACGCCCCTACCTCCGTCGCTGCGACGCTGATGATGGAGAAGGAGCTGTCCGCGTTGCGCCTGAGCGAGGGAGAGCCGGTACAACCCATCCTGGACAAGATGCGTGATCTCTACGCGAAGCTCGCGATCGCGGGATTCACCTACCCGGAGCAGACCAAGTGCCTGAAGATGCTATCGCTGCTGCCGAAATCGTGGCTTCAATTCACGAGCGGATCGAGCCTGCCGCAGAACCAGAGCTTGTGGACGCTCGAATGGGTGTGGACGAAGATTCTGGAGGAGGACTTCCGTCGCCACCAACTGAGGGGTGGAGACGACGGCAGCAGCGGCTACGGGATGCAATGGAGCCGACGTGGCAAAGGACGTGGCTTCGGTGGTGCTGGACGCGGTACAAAGAAAGACGACGACTCCAACGACCAACAAGGAGGTACCGGTTGGGGTCGCGGTGCGAAATCTGGACGTGAGGACAAGTCGGGTGCTGGTGGCAAAATGAAAGGGAGTTGCTGGTATTGTGAGAAGGAAGGGCACCCCTGGTTTTTGTGCTATAAGAAACCCGATGGATGGACCCCCCAAAATCGTCACCAGGATGGTGGCGCGCGGAGGAACCAGAAAAACGGCGCCAACATGGTCGCTGATTCGTCCGACAACAACCCGAAGGGCAACGACGGTGCGGAGAAGAAGAATTCGCGGGCCAATTCTTCCATGTGGGAGACAAGGGGGAGCAAAGAGACACATCTGCTAAGGTTGGAGCAGAGCTGCACCCCTTGGACTATTGGGTGTTGGACACAGGCGCTGCTTGGACAATGACGCCGCGCAAGGACCTGCTGGACGACGTACGCGCTGCACCGATTAATGAGGTGTGCTCTGCCTCTGGACACATGTTGAAGGTGGCTGGTGCGGGACGAGCTGCATTTAAGGGAGCGGATGGCAAGCCGGTGGTGCTGCACGACGTTCTCCTCGTCCCTGACCTGAAGGCCAACCTTATCTCCCTCCGTAAGCTTGGCAAGGCTGGGGTGAACACCAACACAGATGGGGCTCGCACTTATAAGGGGAAGCTGGGCAATCGGGTGCTTTGGGATCTGCACGAGAGCAAGGACGTGTACAGATCTATGTGGCAGCTGCTGGCGCTGGCGTGGCATGGTGGGGGGCTGGCTGGAGAGGGGTCTGCATCCCAGGGGGAGTGCAACGCCGTTGGAGGGGTTGGTGTGAAAGTGTCGGCCAGATCTGGGGAGACGGATTGGGCAACTGCACACCGACGTTTGGGGCATGTGGCAATGCCTTGCTGAAGCAGCTGGAGAAGGATGGAGCCGTTAAAGGCTTGAAGATGAATGGACAACCACCCGATGATAACTGTGAAATTTGCCTCCTTTCAAAGTTCACCCGTTTCCCCTTCCATAGTGTGGCTGGCAGGAGCAAAAAGCCGTTGGAGCTGGTCCACATGGACTTGGTGGGGCCGCTGCCGGTGCAAGGGCACAAGGGGGAGCGGTACTTCCTAACCATAGTGGATGACTGGAGCAGGCTAATGTGGGCGTATCCGCTGAAGCAGAAAGTTCACGCCGCCTCCACGATTCGGGACGATTGGCTGCCGTTCGTGGAGAAGCAAGCGGAGTGTGTGGTGAAGCGGATTAGGACAGATCGGGGTGGTGAGTTCCTTGGAGCTGAGATGACGGCCTGGCTCAAGAAGCAGGGCATCCAGAGGGAGCTGACCACGGCTTACACCCCACAGTCTAACGGTGTAGCAGAACGGGCGAACCGGACAATTCTGAAGACAGCTAGGGCGCTGCTCATAGAATCTGGGCTGGGCAACTTGATGTGGCCCCATGCTGTTCGGCACGCTACCGTCGCTAGGAACAGGGTACTCACAAAGGTTGGGGATGACTCGTGGGTGCCGTTGGAGAGGTGGCTTCGGAGAAAGCCGCCGGTGGACATGCTGAGGGTGTTCGGTTGCATGGCAGTCGCCCACGTCCCCAAGACCTGTTGGGTGCAAATTCACATTGCACGACATCCTGCCGTCTGTTTGTACGAGTATGCGTGTGCGAATGCATTTGCGTGTGAATGGTATGTTTGTGTGTTTGTTTGCTTTCGCAATTTTCGCTTGAAGCATTTGCAGGTACTCGCAAAATGTGCGTTTCGGCATAACATTGTACGCGCTATGAACAGTACAAGCAGAAAGGACGAGCTCGCAAAGGAACCCAAGATGGAAGCTTTGCGGTTCAACTTACTTGATTGCGCAGATTCAGTTCTATCCAACTCGAAATTGTACTGTTTTGTTTGGTTGACTATAGTGTAGCAGGGCAGGCACTATAGGGGTACAATTTAGGTGAAGGTTGGATGTTGTTTGTCTGTATCTGCATGCTACAGGGCCAGGGGAAACCAGCGGAACCAGCATTTGGCTGGTTGGGCAAAGACAAAACAGGTTCTGTTTTTAGGACCTGAACCTGGTTGTTGTTTTCCCAGGTTGGAAAAACAGAACCAGAGGTTGTTCACCAACCTATCACCTGCTATTTTGTCCAGCCATGTTGGTTCTGTTGCTTGGAATTATTTGGGATCATCCCTGGTTGTTCCCAGGTTGATTCCCAAGGTCCTTGCCAGCTAGAGCTATTTATTCCTTCTCTGTTTGTACCTGAATATAGTGAAATTGATTCAAGCGAATTCCTTCCTTGCTGGAATTTCTTGTCTACGCGGTGCGACGGCGGAATGCTACCCGAGTCAACGCTAGTACGCTAGCACTCCAACGCTAGGCTAACGCTGTCCGAGCCATAACTTCGTAATGGCAGAACTTTTCGCGAGGCAACTTGGCTTATTTTAAAGCTCTTAGAGTGAGCTTCGATATAGGAAATTCTCAGCTTAATCCGATCGACGGTCTGCACGATACGCTGCGCGACGTTCAAGGTACTCTTGCTGTTTTGACTAAGTCCCTCTTGATTCCTCTCTCTACAAACTCGGACCCGAGGATAGGGGCTGGTCTTGTACCAGGCACCCAAGGACCCTTGGAGGTGACCCCGAGGAGAGGTTTTAAGTGTGATAAAGTCTTAATAGCTTGAGTTTATTAGGCCCTTACACCAACAAGACCTACCGCAGTAAGTTGGGGGCGAGTGCAATCTGGTGTGTGCATTTGGGGCTGGCTGCTGAGAGCAAGGGATGGCTGCTGTGGGAACCTTCCAAGTGTGTGTTGTTTGACAGCAGGGATGTGAAGTTTGTTGAGGGCATGATGTATGGGAGCTGGGAGAAACAGCCAGAGGCCAGGGTGTCTCAGCAAATAGAGCAGATCACCATGCAGTTGGACCTGACTCCTAGTGTG